CAACAGCCCACTGTGTAAGTTGTCACTGCCTGACTGAGAAGCCAGAAGACCCAAACTGGGTGTCTGTCAGCCAATCTTCCCACCCCATCACAGCCCCAGATCTGCTCACAGGAAGGACACCCTTGGTAACTTCACTCTGGCTTAGTGAGGGCTAGCATCCTTTCTAGAGCTGTGGGCCTCAGTAGACTTTCCCCTTCTTTGTTATTCAGCACACAGAAAGTGAGGCCCCAGGCAACCAGGAGATGAGGTTTCCTGGGATCCAGTCTGTAGTCATCACCTTCCTGTGTTTTGAGAAGTGATTGCTGCTGCAGGCTTGTTTTCTCCCTTGTGTTGGTGACTTCCTTCCTAGAGCCAGAAGGCCAGCCTAGCTGAATCAGTGTGTCTGTGTGTGTGTGCGCGCGCGCGCGCGCGTGAGTGCGTGCGTGTGTGTGTGTGTGTGTGTGTGTGTGTGTGTGTGTATGGGTGCATGGACCTGGGGAATCTCAGTTGCTCCCCGACACTGGGACCCATGGAGTGCCCACCTGCTGGGCTTCTGGAAGAACTGACAGATATGACGCATGTGAGGAGGCAGGCTAGTGTGCCCGCTGGCCTCATGGGAATCCTGTCCTGGAGCTGTGTGTATCTGCTCAGGACACTTCTACCTCTGAGGCTCTGAAATGGGATTAGGGAGACTGTCCCGGTCACTCCTGTATGCCAGCACTTGGGAGGCTGAAGAAGGCGAGACTTCTGTGGAGGCATCTGGGTACATGGGAAGTAGCAGGCCAGCCAGGGCTGTATATAAGAAGACCCTCTCTTGAGCAGAACTGAACCAAACTGAACCAACCCAATCCAACCCCTTACTTGAGGAGTGACCATGAGAAATAGGTGAATTGTCAAATACAGACATGAGCACATGGTGGCAGTTGCTCTCAAGTCTGTCCTACGAGGGGACCATTTCTAAGTAGAATAGTCACTATTTTTATAAATTCAAATTGCCCTGGAAATTGTGTGAAACCCAGAAACAGTCTAAGACACAGATGGGAAGACCCATCTGGAAGCTCAGAGTGAGGCCTGGAACTTGTGCAGAGTCCCGTGTGGTTGCGTTCCGTGCTGTGGACGAGAGCCCATGGATGTTCTAGCACATAAAAACCAAAGTCAGCAGTGGCTGAAGTCATTGGTGAAGGCATCACAAAGGAAGTGGAGATGTTGGCTTTGAGAAGGGAAAGAAGAAAGTCAACCTTGGCCAAACATCTATTCCACATCAAGCGCTGGACAGGCCCAGCTGTGCTGTTCACAGGAAGTGATGACCAGCCTTATACCTGAGGGGGGAGGCATACAGAGTTCAGGAGCTTTCTAGAGCTGACACAGTTTATGACTGGTGGAGATGAGACACAGAGCTGAGGTCTGCAGTACAAATTCTTCCACTTCTAGTGCTGAAGATAGGTGAGAGAAAGTGCATTTGTACATGTGTGCATATGCATATATGTGTGTATATGTATGAATGCATGCACATGTGAATTTATGTGTGTGTATATGTATGAGAATGTGCGCATCTCTGAGTGTTTGTGTTTGCATGCGTGAGAATGTGTATACGTGTGAGCATAGGTATGTTCGAGAATGTGTGTATATGTGAGAGTATATGTGTATGTGTGAGAATGTTAGCATATGTGACTGTATGTGTACACATGTATGTGTATATGTCCATATGTATGAGAATGTTCAAATTGTGCATGTGTGTGTACATGTATATATGTGTGAGAATGTTATATGTGAGTGTATGTGTGTGCATGCATGTGTGCAAGTACATATATGTGCCCATGTTGTAAATATATATACATGCATACACACTTGTGTGTCTACACAATGAGAAGAACTTTTATTCTGTCCTGTATCAGTGGAGTGGAGACACCTGAACTTGGCAGTTTCTTAGGTTCATTCTAATTATTGATATATCTGTGTGGAAGGCAGCACAATAGATTTGAGGTAGGTCTACTATCCAGCCTGGAACTATCCTAGTCAAGTCAACTAGCCTAAGTTTTGGGTGTGTTTACAGAAGTGTGACGCTCCTACATATCGTGAGAGATAGTGAATTCTTCCAGAGGTGAGTGGAGAGGGATGACCGGAGAGCTAGACTAGGCAGACACCTGAAGAGATATCCACAGAGGACTCAGAGTGAGTTCAGAGAGCAAGGGAGAGGGAGGAGAGAGGACAGAGAGGAGGACGAGGAGGAGGAGGAGGAGGAAAGGTCCTGAAAAGGAGGAGGAAGGACAGAGAGGAGGAGGAGGAAGAGGAAGAAGAGAAGAAGGAAGAGGAGGAGGAGGAGGAGGAAGAGGAGGAGGAGGAAGAAGAAGAAGAGGAGGAAGAGGAGGAGGAGGAGGAGGAGGAGAAGGAGGAGGAGGAGGAAAGGTCCTGAAAAGGAGGAGGAAGGAGGAGAGGTCCTGAAAAGGAGACGGTTCTGCTGTCTATCAGGGCTCAGAACAGAAGGCTGGGCTGTGCCTCTGACAAAGAAGAGGCCCTGGGGATTTGCATCCAAGAAAATACTGAAGGCCTGCATAGGATTGTCAGGGAAAGATGATATTTCCTGAGACACATCAGGAGATTTTTTTTTTTGTCTGTAAGTAGAGAAAGTCGGTAGAGTAGCTGCTGGGGACAGTAAACGCAGACTTGGTTTTCCAAACGATGGAGAGAGACTGATGGTGTCCAGGGAGCAGCAGGTCTCAGAGAGGAGCTGTCCTTCCCTGTCTACAGAAGGTACCTCAGCTCCTCACCAAGATGGAGACAGCCACTCCATCCTCCATTTTTCTGTTGGTGGACTGAGGCCATCCACTCTGACAGACACAGGGGTGAAGGGATGTCCTAGCACAAGTATAGACTCTTTCACCACAGGTTCACATGTTTGAACACTTGGGTTCCTGGTGATGGCGCTGTTCTGGAAGGTCGTGGAACTTTTAGGAGGTAAAGTCTCACAGAAGGAAGTGACTCACTTGAAACAGGCCTTGGGGTTAGAGTCTGGCCTTCCTCCCTGTCCACTCTGCTTTCTGACTATTTATGAGACTCGAGCAACTGTCTCACACTCTGCTGCCCTGCCTTCCTTCCATGATGGACTACATCCCCTCTGACTGTGAGCCACAGTAACCCTCCTCCCCTAAGCCATTATGTCTCAGTACTTGTCACAGCCACAAGAAAAGCAGGCTGTGCCCCATCTTTAGGAGGGTGACAGACTGTTTTAGGCTTGTTCCAGCACTACCACACCTTGGGCTCTCGTCAGAGACTGACAGCAGTTAGCCAGAGTTCTGTTTCAGAGAAAGGCCTCACTTCCCACAGACCCCTGTCAGTCACTCAGCTGAACAAGTGGAAAATTGGATTTCATCTCCTCTGCTGGATTTCATCTCCTCCTGCTAATGACAGGAGCTGGGTTTCAGAGAGGGAAGAAAAAAAAAAACCCTGGGTCAGTCCCTCCAAGCAGTTGCTCTGTAATTGAGAATTCTAGAGAACGGTGCCCAGGACTGAGCACCTTTGGTGGCTCTGCCTGTGACAGCCCAGAGAAGGGAGCCTGGCACACAGGGGTGTTCAGCGATATCGTCTCTGCATGAATGAAATGTGCTTTGTTTTATAAGACGCCTGTTAACATCCCAGCCTCTAGCTGCCTCCAGGTACCATCACGCTGCGCCCTGTTCAGGTATCCACGTTTGGAACATATTAAGGTCGACTTCCTCCTCTGTGAAGGGAGGAACCCCTGAGCGTATCTCCAGGATCATGTGACTTCCTACCTCAGTAAAGCAGAATTACCGTGCTTCACTGTGGTTTGAGTTCCTGGGATGCAAAAGGCCTTGTATCTTATACTCATTCCATCCTGTTGTTCTAGAAGACTTTGCTGTGGGTGTTCCCAGGCCTCACCAAGTGAAGTGTTCACAGCAGCCCATGCATGTTTGCTTTTACTCTTGGGAACCCTTACATTCTCTGCCTGGGGTCAGTGGAGATGAAATGTGTGGACAGGACAGTTTGGGGCTGAGGACTCAACCTTCCCACTGTCACTGGGCACTGATCGTGGGCCACTGGCCTGACTTCTCTGCATCGCAGTGTTCCTCCTCCAGGCACTGCTAATGGATGGCCTACCCAGGTGGCTTTGACTTCCAGGCATTGGTAATAGATGGCCTACCCAAGAGGCTTTGACTTTGAGTAAGATTCACTGCAGTAGATACCTGATGTGTCTCTGGAGGGTCTGAGTTATGTTTTCGTGTTCCAGTGTTGGGAATGGAAGTTGGGCCTTCACGTAGACTAGCTACCCAAGCTCTCTCTACTCAGCCACAGCTCTTGCTCTTTCTTTTGCTTTGAGACAGTATGTCTCCAAGATGCTTCGGTTGTTCTTGAATTCATTCTGTAGCCCCAGGCTGACCTCCCAGTCTGGTCCTCTTGCTTTAAGTCTTTTTGAGTAGCTGGGATTATAGGGCTGGGTTACCAGGCTTAGCTTGTGTTTTATTTTCTCTATAAAGGAAATGAGATGTCTTGAGTAACAAGTCTTCATGAGGCTTCAGCAGTGCTTGGAACCAACCGGTGGTGTCTTGTGGGGCCTGTGCTTCAGAGGAGAGACACTTGTAGAGCTTCCCCAGGGCCCTCATTCATCTTCTCCCCTAGGTAATGCTGTAAATTCTACCAGGACGGTCTCTGTCCTCTTTATTGGCCTAGAGCCATTCCTTCCTCCCCAAGCCTATGATGGAGCCAACTGTGTCAGAGGATATTTAATTTCCCAGCTTCATCTCCTGCAGCCTCTTGCATGAGTTTTCTTCATTCACTGGGTTACTGTGCTGTGCACCCGAGGTTCCCTGGATAGATAGGCAGGGTCTTTACACACAGTACGGTTCTGGGTTTCTGTTTCACCAGGTTCTTAGACACTATTGTTTTCATGAAGCTTTGGCCAGGTGAGGATACTTATTAAAATAAGTAGTGGTCACTGGGGGCAGGGCAGTGGGGGGTGACTTAGTGCACACAGAGGGATCGGAGCAAGCTCAACGGCCTCCTGAGTTCCCGCTTCAGCAGGACACACACTAAAATTACAATAATACAGGGCGGTCAGCCTGGCCCCTGCACAAGGGTGACATACAAATTTGCAAAGCATTCCATTGTTTACACATAAAAAGTTTTAAAATCTTTAAAACAACAAACAAACAACAACAAGGAATGAAAGTCAAATATGGCTGTGTGTCTTGTAGCCAGTTGCTGGCAGGACAGGCAGCAGAAAGCCTGGGGCTCTCTGACCACCAGTCTAGACAAACCCAAAAGGCTCCAGGTTCAGTGTGAGACCCTGTCTCAGAACTAAGATGGAGAATGATTTGTGAGAACACCTTGGGGGCCTTTGCGTACATGCACACGGACATCCATAAACATAGACGCACAGGCACCACCCCCAAAACACATGCACATATACATATAAAATAATCAGTGGTGAGACCTGTCTTCCAGATGGTTTGAGAGGTTCCTCACTGTGGGAGTGGGGTGAACTGAGGCCTCTGCGGTTCTGTGCGAGTGGGAAGTTGCCATGACCTCCAGGCTGCAGAGCAGAACCTGGTTTGGGTGGAGGAATCCAGTGAGATGTGAGAGAGATCCTTACACTCCAGGGAAACTTGCCCAGGAAGATTCCAGAAAGTGAGCTAAATAGAGGGCCGTGCTAGTGAGCGGGTAGAGGAAGGTCCCACTGGGGATCGTCGGGATCTCCAAATTCCCTGTTTAACAATCTGCCGTCACAGGCATGTGCACACTCATTTCTACACCACACAAGATCAAATCCTAGGAGTTGGGGTGCATGGAACCTGTTTGTCTGGGAGCTCCTGGGGAGAAGGGAAGCAGGGATAAGGGATCAGGAAATGTGGCTTGCTCTGTCTCCATATTTCATTGTAATTACATGAATTTCAGTGTAAACTACAGTGTAGTTTCATGTTGGTGTAAGAAGTGTGCTGAGAAATCCTATGTTTCTGTTCGATGCTTAACTTGTTTCCCCAGCATCTCTCAAGCTCTGCCAAGGGTGTGGAAACCTGTGCACATCCCAGTTATGGGGAGATAAATTCAGTGTCTTTGGGTTTGATGGAGCTTAGAGTGAATGACGGGATGGGCAGTGGTCAGCTTCATCACCATTCACTTGGGGCCAGCCCAGCCTAGCCTCGCTCTTCTCCCTCTGACACAGCCTGGGGCTGCCAGCTTGGGCATCACTGTCAGCTCTCCACACTTTTCTTTGGTGCACACCGACTCCCCTTCTTCCTCCCCCTGCCTCATCTCAGCAGAGGAGACGTGACTCAGTCAGCTGTGAGCGAACAAAAGGAAGAGTGACATATTATCCAAACAGAGGAAGCTTCTCTGACACACACAGGAGGTTGGCTCAGACTGTCATTAGACGTTGAGGGGAAGATAAAGGAGACTCCAAAATAGACTCACAGAAGGAGAACTGAGGCCACCCAAGGCTGGGATCTCCCACAGACTCCTGGTAACTTTCGTTTCCACCTCCTCTTGGTGATTCCTCCTGAGTGGAAATGGCACAGCTATGTGTATGAACTGGGGCTGCCTTGGGGTAGCAGGAACCCCAAGTCAGCATTCCTGACCTTGAGCCTTCTGGAACTTTGACCTCAGTCCTTCCCTCTCCCTGAGTGTCTTGGTTCGAGCAAACTATGATTCTTTGATGAGGAATTATGTGGTTCCAGAGCCAGCCTGGCCCCTGTTCAAGGTGTATGCAAGTCCCCTACTCTCTCTAGAAAGCAACATGGATGGGCTGGAGGGTGGAGGTAGTGCTCAGAACCTGTAATTTTGGAGAACACCAGAGCTGAAAGATAACAGGGGGACACCTGCTGTGAGTGAGGCCCACATGAGCCCACTGTGGGCGAAGTCAATCCCTAAAGTTGTGTGTGTGTGTGTGCGCGCTGGTGCTGGAGCTGGGTGCAGTCAAAAGGACCTTGATCCAGCTGTGGGGATCCCTGTCTATTAGAGCTTGACTGTGTCTTGAGGAAGCTAATAACTGCCCAATGCCATGCAGTGGGGAGGTGGGGCCCTCGGGAGGTGTTCATGCATGAGAGCGCCCCGAATGGTTGGATTAGCACTGACACTATTGCATTTGGTGGAGGATTTTACCCCCCTCCCCTTTCCTTCTTTCAGCCCATCTGACCCTTCCACCTCCGCCAACACTGCAATGCCCCTGCAGGAGGTAACCCCAAGGAGCCATCTGGGAAACAGAGACTGGGTCCTCACCAGGTACTGAATGTGGCCCGCTGATCCTGGATGCTCAGCCTTCATCAGTGACACAGTGACACAGATGGGCTACTTTCCTATTTTACCATTTACTATGGTATCTCACAGGGCTCTCATGCTTGGGTTTTCAAAGGGAGGTGGAGAGGTTGATGGAGTTACCTCTGTGGGGCAAACCCTCTGAGAAGCATACTGGGGCAAGAAGAAGACCTTATGGCTGCCTCTGGATTTCCTGGTAGCTTAGATCATGGGAAAATGTCACATGGGATGTGTAGCGTAAGGGGTTGTCTCTAAATAGAAGAGCTGGCATGGAGCTCTAACTCAGCCTTTGACTCCATAACTGTGACAGGCAAGTATGAGTCCCATGACTAGCCTTGAGCACACAGACACTAATGGAACACAAGTGGATCTACCTCAGAGAAATTAAATGTGTTTTCATGGCCAGAGCCTGAGCTGGAATAGAGTCAGGGTTGGAAGGCTAGTTAAGACACTGTTTTAAAAGTTGTTTTGAAATAGGATAACAGGATGTGGCTGTTGCAGACACACACACACACACACACACACACACACACACACACACAAGTTCCTTTTGGGGTGGCTGAAATGCTTCAGAACCTGAAACAGTGATGGTCACACAGTCCTGTCAGTGTATCTAATGCCATCGAACTGTGCACAGCAGAACAGCTCATTCTATGGTGTGCAGATTTTCCTTAAATTATAACCTTGGGGGTCGAAGAGCTGGCTTGACAGTTAACGGTGCTTGCTGCTCTCGCAGAGGACTGTGATTTGGTTTCTAGCACCCACGCTGGGTAGCTCACAAACACTTTCCAGTTCCAGGAAATCTAACACCCTCTTTTGGTACCTGTAAGACACCTGCACTCACATGGCATGCATAAACTCACAGGCACACATATACACATGTAAAAATATTGCCCGGGTTGATGTATATCTAGAAATTCAGGATCTCTAGAATGTCATGCTTTCCCATCTGCCTACGCCTGAGGATCCAAACTGTGGGCTCAGGCAGCTGGGAGACAAAGCACGTTGGTTGCTTGCACAGTGACACTCCTGTATGTGGAGGCAGGTGGATGGCCTTCTATCTCAGCCTAGATGCCATCCAGTTCACCTCTGTGGCCATGCTTGGAGCCAGTCTAGCACATCTAGCATGATATCAGCAACACAAGACTTTGATAAACACCTCTGAGTTCCAAAGGCCCTTGGCACTCTGTGCTAAGTTGCCACACCGGGCTGCTGCAGTTGGCCGGGTAACACGGTTCTTTGATCAATCTCCATACAAATGACTTTGCTGGGAAGTTGGACTTTCCCATCATTGCTTGGTGTTCCTTCCTGTGCTGGCCTGCTGTGTCGCGGGGAGGTGCAGTTTCCTTAGACAGCATAGTTTGTTCCCTCTCTGCAGGCCTCATCTTGCATCAGCACCTGGTCTAACCACAGTCTCCTTTCATTCCATCCCTAAGGAACTTAGGAGTCCTGTGTGAACCGGATTGCATCTATCGTTTGCTTGGTCCTGGAGGCGGTTCCAACTCCAGGCTGACAATGGAAGATTTGCATGTTTCTTCTTCTTCTCTCAGCTCACAAGGTTTTCCTCTTGTAAAATTCAGAGCAAAGTAAAGTGAGGTACAGCAAAGGCAAGAGGGGCTTCCTCTGCAGCTTCTTTAGAGTAGCATCCTCCTCCGCCCCCATCTGTTAAAGGGACAAAATAGTCGTTCCGACTGTCCCTGTCCCTGACTCTTCCTTAGGCATCTCTGACAGTAGTTCATCTACAGTGTGGTCATTGGCCCTGAAAGAGAAGGATCTGGGGGATGATGGTCTCAATCACCCTTTGTCTGTTCACAGTCTATTGAGGGGTGACCCGGATGGTCTCCTGGACCTGGGCTCCTGGGGATAGGGCTGACCTGCCACAAAAGCAGCCACCAAGCTATGCACTGTGCCTTTCCAATGCCTCTCCACAGGAAAGGAAAGAAAGCCTGGCTGGCTGGTTCCAGTGGCCGTCTGTGCACCCCAGCCATTCTGGTCTGGTTTTCAAAATCACCAGTTTAAGGATGTGTGGCTGAGAGAGCTTCTTGTAGTGGCCACAGTAGGGAGAGGCAGGGCTGGGCTTTCGGAGTGGGACACTTCCCCCATGAGGATATACTGTCTCAGGTCAGCCCTCTCAGAGGCCTGTGGGCAGAAATCATTTCTGGGCTGTAGCTTCTGGTACTTCCAAGGGCTGTACCCATTCGATATTCATACCTTGTCCCCTTTAAGCAGGGAGGCTGTGGGTCTGTCCGAGTCTCTGCTCATGTAGATAACTGGCCCCTGCCATGGAGAAGCCCTGGTGTAGCTTTGATGCTCACTTGACATTCTGTCTCCTGAGGCTGACTTATGACTAACCTATGGGTAGCTTGCTGTAGTCTGGCCTTCATGTTCTTAGAATGCGGTCCCTTTGAGAACCACATCTCTCTCTGACTCTGCCCTCTTCCCCCGGGGACCCTGGTACTTCTTGCTGCTCTTAGCTTCCCACTCAATCACATCTGCCATGTGGATCTCCAGAAAAGGCTTGTTTGATTTCCTTAAAGTTTCCTGATAGAGTTCCCAACACAAGCACACACACCGAGGCCCTCACACATGTGCTTCTGGAGGGAAGGAAGGCTACAGATCTATGTTCCTGTCTGTACTCTGCCCGGGCCGTGGAATCAACATCTGTCACAGACATGGCCTTGAAATGTCACTCAGCCTGGTGAACCTCTGATCTGCAGCATAAATTTAGAAGTGTGGATGCTTCCAACCTGAATTCTAACATTCTTATTTCCACACTGCTCAAAAACATTTTCAAGAAGTGTTCCTGGGATAAGTTCTCTGCCGGAGGTTTGTCTGTGTGCAGGTATTCCACGGATCCAGCT